TAGAGGCGCCCTTCTGCCTTTGGAGGGGTTCGATGGCAGGGGTGGTGTAAAGGTGCCGTTTGTGCAGTCAGCGGGAGAGGCTGAGTTCCTGTCAATGCGTGAGGGGGGATTAATCACGCAGCTACTTTTTAGGCATTTCTGTCATTTCCCCCCCGTTCTGTTAGCTTTTAAAGTCTTTGCAGTGGAGTACCGCTTCGTAGCGGATAGTCTATAAAAGCGGAATTTGTGTCCGCGGATCGTGTTCTGTCCCAGAGCAAATACAAGGGCGGCCTGTGCTGCTAGGGGAAGATGGATTTGTCGGAAAGATGAAAGGCCTTTAGTCAGAGGGCAGTACCCACTTAGGAAATTAATCCACCAAGGCCTCGGGGCTGGTGTCTCAGGTGTGGTTTTTACAAGCCTGCCGAGCCCTGTCAGCTCTGGAGCTGAAAGCAGCCGAGAGCAAACCTGCCTGCGAGCACCTGAAATGCAGTGAGGTGAAGTTCCTGCTTCCTCCTCCTGTTCCCACTTTCTCCTTGCACTGCTGTCCGCTGTTGCTTCCTCCAGCATTTGTCTTGGCTCCTGTGCTCCAAACGCTGGAGCAGCAGAGCTGTGGCAACGTAGAAAGTTTTCTGCAGTTTTAATCATTGAAGAGGCAATCCCTAGCAAAAAGAGGGGAGGAAGTGAGGCAGGAGAGGAGCAGGGGGAGTGGTAGAGAAGCAGTGAGGCATGAGATGGGTTCAGCTGTCTGGGGAGCTCTACCCCTGGGGTTCAGTTTGTAGTGAAAACATGGTTGCATAAGGTGAAGGAGTTCTTTCCTAGGCTTATCTGTTCCTGGGCAATTCCTCTCCCAGTTGCTTCTGACATTACATGTAAGCAAAGTAAGCTGATTCAACTTTTCAGCCTGGACAAAATATCTTTTGGAGGGGAGGAGATGATAGTTTGCCATTTTCATGGTCTGAACTGCTTTACTTTGCAATGAGAGAAGCATTTGGGGTGTAGTAGGTGGTGGGAACACACAGCTGGGAGGCAGGGGACTACTGGCAGCAGCAGCGTGCTTCAGCTCGAGAGATCCTTGGCCATTTCCCAGCATCTGCTTTTGCGTTAGAGTTTAGTAGTTATCTAGTCAAGTGAAGTCTTCAGACTTTCAGTGTCTCTTCTTTGTACTAGAAATAAGAAAGGAAAATAATGTTTTTTCTTCTGTTTTCAAGCCTTCTCAGGAGCTCAGAGCATGTGATATAGTCCTGAATATGGTCCAAACATTTCTGCTCTACTGGTTAATACTGCTGTTATGGTAAAGCTGTTCTTTACCTAAGTTGTCTTTTCTCAAAGCTCAACCTCTCCTTACATGTTGGGCGCTTCAATCTCTTAATCACCTTTGTGGAAAATTGAAAATTAAGCTATTTTTAATAGAAAAAAAAGTATATCCATTCTAATTACATTTACATTATTTCCAGTATTAATGTAGAACATGCATAAAGGAAGCAAATATTGTACTAATTTGAATATTGCAGAAAAAAGGTGCAAAAAGTGTGCAGGCAAAGAAAACCCCACCTCTTTTTCCATATTAGCTGACATTTTCATTACAGAAAATAATAATCTTCACTGAAATTTATTTGGACAACAAGTACTTTTGAAATACTAAAATTCTTATGCATGCCTGAGTAAAGTAAGACAAAGATGAATAAAAGCTGGAAGTTGGATGGGGGCTTTTGGGAGATCACTTGGTCAGTTGAAGGATGCTTCTTAAGCACTTAATTTTATTTTATAAAGTTGTGGTGTGCAGTTTTATGTTGTAGGCAGCCCACCATTTCCTTTGACCAGTAAGTTTCTGCCATCAGACTTGGGTTGCATGCTTGTACTGGAAAGCAAGATTATTTTTTTTTTTTAAATCAAAATTTTTAATTCAGTCAGGCACAAATTGGGAGTTTAAGCTGAGGGTTGTTGTGTAAGTAAATGGATCTTGTGGAGGCAGGTGAACAGTTAAACTGTTTCTGAGTATTAAGGTCCTTTTCATCATTGCTAGTCTTTCTGTTCCAGAGCTGCCAGACTGGAGTAACTCAATGGATAGCAGCATGCAGTGGATTGCTACAGACAACTGCAGTCCAGGGCCAGGGTGGATGGATGCTGTATGGTGTTTTCCAGGTATCAGAGTATGTTAAATTATGTGAAAAATGGGATAAGTTTCAATTAGAAAGAGTCATGGTTTTTAAATAGGCTTTCAAAAGTGGTGTCTTCACTGTCTGTGTATTGCTGAAATATCAAATACAGCTTAAAAGCTTTCTGGTGCTACAAGAGTGAGCTCCTACTCTTTATGACATGGTTGTCTTCATTCCACCTTTATAGTCTTTTAATGGATCCAAATTATCTGCCATGGGTAGATTAAATGCAGGAGTCTGAATGTAGGTGTCGTTTTTCCAAAGGAGCTATTACAAGCTAGTGAGAATTGCATGTAATTCCCAGCACTGTATGTCATGGGATGCCTCCACTGTACAGTAGCTTTGGACTTTCTAGTTCTGATGGTGTGTTTACCTCACACAGCACACTAAGTGGTGTTGTTTCAGTGGAAAGCTGAAACAGTTTTGCAGTTTTGTTTCCAGCTCTGTAATAACGTGTAGTGTCAGACTGTGTCTATCCATAGTAAATTAACTAGAACATCATTTAGCAGCACTTAATAATAAAGAGATGAAAGATATGTAGAAAATGGGAATAGTTGCAGGCTATCTGAACAGAATTAGAGTATATCTCTTGGTGTTTCCTTCTTGCATACAGTGAAATGAGAGATTAAGCCTCTTCCTTATATTCCCCTTCCTCTATATTACAATTTTTATCATCGAGCCATGACATTAGAAACTTACCTGTAGGCTCTTCAGCTTGGATGTCTTTTCTCAGAGAAGACCTTTCAGTCCTTGGACAATTGCTTATGATTTTTGTGACACAATCATACCATTAAAGCACCAGTCCCAAGGGGGTAGCACACAGTGTTGGGAGGAGAAAGGGAAATGAGCAGTTATAAAACTGATTGATAAAGTTGGGTTTACTATGAGCAACCAGCAGATTCAGTAGGTTTCTGGGAATGACCACTCTGAAAAAAACAGCATATTTACTTTGTCTGAATTTATTAATAAACAAGGTACTGCTAAGCTGTGTGTGCTGTGAGGCTGTGATAGGTTTTCTGTTTGGCATGTGGCTTCTTACCTGGAGATCCCACGCACTGCTACGTGGTAGTTTTCTTTATTGTGCAGTAGATCTGTAATACAGATCAGGTGCTGTGGAGTTACAGTGGTTGTAGTGGTAGCTTTTACCTTGTATTTGTTCTTCTCAAGTCTTGGCCACAAAGACAACTGAATCAGCTGTTAAAGCTGTAGATAAAAATAGCATAAACTCTGTTTCTCTGCAAGGACAGGAAAAATAATTGTTCTTTACCGAGTGACAAAAACCATAATTAGAAGTAGTGGGTGGGAAAATCAAAGCAGTTTTTCACCTATGGTTTTTGAGGGTGGAGTGTTCTGCCAGTCCATTCCATCAGTACATTTGCAGAACACTAGAAAATGTGTGGTGCAGAGCACTAAGCATGGACAACCATTTTGTTTGTGACTTATGATAATAAATTTGTGCTTTTTGTGATATAATTTTCTCAGGATTAGGCTGAACTGTAATTGGCTTGGAAGCAAACTAAGGGTAATTGGTCTAAAATTAAGTGTTTAATAGTAAATGGTAACTTTTTTTTTTCTTTTATCATTTTTCTAGAGACACAAGGCTGGCCAGTTCCAACTTTCTAAATGCTGTGGTGGATTGATTCAAGCCAATGGAGCCATTACACAGCAAACCAGATCATTTCACAATACAAATAAGGTTAGAAGAGTTTCATATTTTCATTTTTGGAGGGCCCACTGTGCTAGAGATAATACAGATACAGGTAACAAAACACTTCAAAACATGTAGGTGATGATTCAACTTCAATATAAAATGTTTTAGTATAGCATGAACAATAGATCCAGTAATTTGAGAAGTGCTCTCTGTCCCTTTCCAGAAAATGAAGTCCTAGCAGAAGAAGGTGCAGTTACAGTTGGGTTACCTGGAGTGAAGGTTCCAATGATAAGTTTGAGAGCTTCTTTCCAATGATGAAAGAAACTGAACGGAGAAGAGTAGTTATTGGGGTGGGGGGCAGGTGTTCCTCTCATACCTTTAAAAAGGGAAACAGAATTTGCCCATACGTATTAGAAGTGACAAGATATTTCCTGATTCTTTAGTTGGAAATAATGTGTAATGACAGTTTTGCTATCTGCTAAACACTGAAAATTACCATGCTATCTCCTAATAACACTAAATCATTGAGTAATTGCTTGTTGTTCATCTGCTGTTTTGTTCATTTGTGGTTTCTGCATCTCTTATTTTTATTGTCTTTTGTCTTGGAATAGAAGTTTTCTGGAGCATGAACCATCTCAGTAAGATTAATTTAGTACTTAATCCAAGGAAGTCAGTGTGTCCCAACTGATATATCTTGCTCCTGCTCTTGTTAACACAATGTGAAGGAAATGGTAAATTGGGATGTGTGCATGAGAAACAGCACACATAAGAGGACAGTAGGAAAACAAAAGTTAGGGATTGATGGGTAAAACTTACATAAAAGCAACAATCCCAGTTTGTCTGCTTAATTGTGTGTTTTGCTGGTGTAGAGTTAGAGGTAGATACTAAGAGGTATTTTGAATTAGTTATTTTGATACAGATAGACAAAATGAAGGAAAGCCTGGAGATGTGTGGAAGTGTACTGTTTGCATCTAGCTGTCAACTAGAGCTTTTCCTATTTTTAGTCAATTTTTCAGCTGATAAGGTAAACCAAATATTTTGCAGACACAGAGACTGGAGCATACAAAATTTACTCGCACACTTCACCATGGCCAGAGCTAAGAATGGGATACAGGCTCTCAAACATGATGTGTATCCCTGGTCCCTGTGCCTGCCTGCACAAGTGTCATTTGCAGAGCAGATCTGGGAGAGCAGTGGGTGACAAGATGGTAGGTCTAACAAGCCAGCAGTGGCATGAAGATCTTCACAGCAGGGGTCTAGTACTTGCTTTTGATGTATTGGAAAGGGCTAGGGGAGGGGTATGAAGGTTGAAAGATAAATTGGGAAGCTGGGAAACTTCCTGAGTAAAATAGCTTTGGTGTAAAAGGCCAGGCAGGATTTATGTCCAGAGAGGCAGCAGTTTACACAGTGTAGGTAATATTTGAAGTACATTTTTGGACTGCAGCCTCATCATTTTGTATAGGGAAGTACTTGCTCGTTGTTGAAATGTGAACTTTACTATACACTACTGGTGGGAAAGTGGTTAATGGTGAACTCCAGTTCTTTCATTTTCATATGTGGTGTCATTTATATTTCCTGTTATTTGCTTTGTTACTTTTGGATTTTGGGTATTGAACAGGTAAGTCAGTCTGAGGTGTGCTTGTGTCCATTTAAGTGTGTTGATGAGCTTGTTTTGAGTGAGTTATGAAGACATTTTTGAAGTTTCCTCTGTACATTTTCTAGATTTTTTACATATGCTTGTAGGACTGTTTGATTGCATTTGGCTGCAGTCCTAGCATTGGCAGGATGAGCTACATAAATCTATTCATAGGTTGAACCACTCACTGCTTAAATCCTCTCTGCACCTCCTGAGCTGGTCCAGACAGGCTTGCAGAAGAGTGAAGCAAGAGTCATGGCATTTTGTAGGAAAAGGCTGTTTTCCAGTCAGTTTTTTTGGTGGTGAGCTGGGAACAGTTGAATCGAGATAATTTTGGGTTTTAACTCAACTTCCTCTGCATAATGAAAAGTCCATACTGAGGGAGTCTCCATAATGCATATGTAGGAAGGAGGCATGTAGTAATATTAATCTGGAGTCACTAGGGGTTTACTATGATTTCAGTTCCTCTGGAGGAGATGGAAGTTGATTTAGTGAGCTGGGCACGTCAGTGGGTATTAGGACACAAGTCCTACACTGAGCATATCCCCTCGTTGCCTGGTTGGGTGGAGGCGTGTGGAGTTATCTTGTGATGTAAGTTTAGGTGTCATTTTAGTGTAGAGGAGAAGAGTGTGAGTATTGCATGGGATAATCTTGTAGAGAAAGTACTAAAAATTGGTTTAAATGTTCACATACATATCAGTAGACTCACTGGGCCTGTCGTGTGGCAGAGGGTGGGACAGTGCCTGTGCAGACACTTTTGTTCTGGGTGACAACAGAGGACTCGGTGAACAGATTTAATGGTCAACATTCAAAGCAAGGGTCTGAGTATTAAAGGAGGTCCTGGACATTGTTATGGTGTCTTACTAGGCAAGTGATGGATACTAAAATAGCACTGAGCATGTCTCTTCTTATCTACCTGAATATTAGGTATGATGGGGTTCAAAACATCAATAGCCATCTCTGGATAGCACACAAGTGCAAAGCATTTTATTTCAAATGATAAAACTTCTGTATGGATATATATAAGGATTGATTATGTCTCAAAGCTACAATGTTTGTCACCTTTACAGTTAGTTTTCAATTGAGTATAGCAACTTGTGCAGGGTATGTGTCTATATGTGTCATTCATGCCACTTAAAATATTACTGTACTAGTGCTAGGAAAGCTATAGAGAATACATCCAGAATGATGGGAAGTGTGAAAAGCCTTCAGTGTGGCAGGAGGTTCTTTTAGGATCCTTCTGAACTAAGGAGATAACTGATAGGCCTATAGAAGTCATAAAAGATACTGAAAAAGGGAATAGGAAGTGGTTGTTTGCAGCTTCTTACAGAAAAATTGGAAGCATCCAATGAAATGGCAAGGCTGGATTTAAAACAGGCACAAGGGAATTTTTTTTACATAACTAAACTGTGAAACTCACTCACACAATGTTATGGAGATTAAAGACTGGAGTGCTGAAGGTGCATCCGACTGCAGCTGCCAAAAATGAATAGGTGGGTGCATTTCCTAGTGCAGGAATGACTGTCAGAAGCTGGGCAGGTACACCTCAGGGAGCTGCAGGCTGTGTGCTGGGTTTTTCTGCTTTTGTGCCTTGTCCAAGTGTCTGCTACTAGTCTGTGTTGGAGATGGTGTCCTGGTCTGTTCATTCTGGCCATGCATGGAAGTCTTTATGTTGCTGAATTGCTTCCCTACTAAGAAAGTGCTTTTCTTAGTATGTTCATGTCTCAGGAGGAAGTGTTGAGGGTAAAATTCCAGTTACTTAAAGCAATGTAACATTTCTTTGGTCAGGGAACTTTCTCAGATTCTAATGGCTCTCAGCTGTATTCCTCAGGTGTACAGAGGCAATTCACATGCCTTAGGTTTTGCTTAGATGGGTAAAAAGTAGAGTGATTTGTTCATGACAAAGTATTTACTTTGCATACTTAATTCATTAGAGATTATTTCCTGGAGTACAAATGATAATTACTGGTGGCTGATTGCTAATGCCAGGATGCGTAGAGGCAGAATGCTATAAAAATTTCTTATCAGTCCAGTGGTGTTTCAGGTGTGTAGTTAATCTGGAAGAGAATGTTTATCTTCATGTTTGCAGACATTGCAAATTTGCAACTACCATTTAACTGTAGGGGGGATAACAATCTAGGGGAGCTTTTCAGTAGGGACAGTGGGTTCATGTATCTTCATGAGTTTTAAGATGGAGTTGATTGGTTTATATAACATGTAAATGCTCTAGAATACAGTATGCCTGTGAGAGTAAGAGAAGGCATGTGAGAAGTTAGCTTTATTTGCTCTGTTTCTGTGATTTATTTGCTAGTTTTAAGCCCAAGACACATCTAGAAAGAGTATGGGAGTCTAGAATGGGAGCCATATTTTGGTAAGCAGGTTTCTGTCCAGAGTTTGAGTCTGAGCTTCCAATGACATGTTTTTATCAAAACTGTTATGCAATATTTTCTTTCATAAACAGAAGAATGTCACATAGGAAAAACTAATATTTTGCAGAGAAGACCTAGTTATGTGTGTGTTTTGTTGAACAAAGAAAGTAAACAAACCCCCTAAAATTCTCTATTAAACTTGTAGCTTTTCTAAGTAAAATGATTTATCAGATTTAATTGCTAAGAATGATGTATGTGATATTTCAATTTTACAGCATCTCTCTGCAAAAGATTCCTTGCAGCCAACTGAAGAGAAAGTGGGTCCTTTCACAAGGATAATAGAAGCAATGGGTTTCACAGGACCACTGAAGTATAGCAGATGGGTAAAGCATTCATTTAATTCTTTTGGGTTTTTGACACTTTCAGAGTTCTAAAAAGCAAAGAACACCCCCCCCAAATTTTTTTCTTATGATAGGAGCAGTGCTTAATGGAAGAGTTCTAATTATTACCTGTGTAAATTCATGTTTTGTGATGTGAGGAATAATAAGCCATAGCTTGAACCTTGCTTGATACATGCATTGCCATCATTGACATAAAGAGAAATAATGTATTTGGGTTGTAGAGTCTTAGGCTTTCTTGATTTCTTCAGATATCTTATTTTCCACTTCATTTGTGCACTTACTGTCCAAGTCAAACACCCCCATAGATGATCATCCTGTCTAATAACGACCAATTGCAGGATCTAGAAAGAATTTAATTACAGGAAAAGCATAATATAATATTTGTGTCCTGTGCTCCTCCAGCCTACAACAGTTGTTTGTTTTAGGACTTACAGGTTTTTTTCTGTAGTATCTATTAATGGGCTTTTCTTCTATAAATTTGTCCAGTTACTCTTTGAACTCCTGCAAGTTTATAGCTTCTGTAGCATTCAGTATCAGGGAGTTCCATAGCTTGAGTACCCCTTAGAGAAAGAAGTACAGTTGTTTTCAGTTGATGCTTCTTAATTTTGTGCTTCAACAGAATGGTGATTATTCTTTCCTTGGAGTGTATGTACACGTTCTTCCTTCCACTGATGATTTCCTATATTCCATAATAGCTTAGTCTGTCTCTGGACTGAGGAGACTTAGCCTATCTTGTTTCTGTTATTTGAACTCTTTTCATGTTTTGACTTTTCTTTGCCCTTCTCTGAACCTCTTCCAATGTTCTCTATCTCTGTGACAGGAGGGTCTCCCAAACGGCCAGTAGTGAGGTATGTTCAGACTGCTGCTCGAGTCACTGTTCGTTAGTAGCTGACTAGGACAGAGTCACAAATAGGCTCTCCTTTTCTGTGTTTTCTAAGTAGTCCTTTCATAAAGCAGTGATTAACCTTGACTAAATGAGAGCAATTCCATAAGAGACACCTCAGTTCCTTATGCAGAAGGAAGAAGAGGTGAAATTCATAACTTCTTTGCTCTGAACTAGGACACGGAATAAAAGATTGAGGGGAAAAGGCAGTGTGAAGGAAGGGCTGAGCCCAGCTGTGCAGGAACTGAAACCTTTAAGGTGCTTTGAATATCTGCAAGGTGGAATGGACCTCCTCTGAGACTGCTATAAAACTTGCTGGTTGCATCTAGCTCCTCTGAAAGAAAATATGAAGAAAAGATAACTGGGGGGCTTAGGTATTTTGCTTAAAATCAGTTGCTGTCGATCAGGTGATGCTAAACCTCATGACAGAGTAGTTTCCTATGTGCTTGTGTACATACTGTTGTAAGAAAGATTCTTGTTAGCTCTAAGTGTTGAATTGGAGCTCTCCTTAACTGCTACTCTTTACTGCCTGTTTTTGGCTAGGGAACTTGGGTTTGGAGAGAGTTATTTTGTGGTTAGGGCCCAAGAGATCCAAGTTAATTTTTGGCCTTGCCACTGCTCTCTATGAGGTCTTAGGGAAGTTTCTTTGTATTTCTCTGCTTTTGTACATTTTTCTTCTCCTTTCTCCCACATCTCTTCTACACCCTAAAACTTCCATGATTAAATTTCACCAGTTTCTCCCTTATTTCTTGCCTTATTTAAGGACTAGATTGCAGGAGGTTTTCTTTACAATATATTTTTAATGTCTAGTAATGCCTGGTCTGGAGCAATAGCTTTCACTGGAGAGATCTCTATTCCCAGGCCAGGCAGCATTTCCTTTAAAAAGGAAACCTCCAGATCTCCAGTAAGCAGTGTAAATTGTTTTCTGCAAGAAGTTTAGATGGGTACTTGGTTTTTGACAGAAGCCTGAGATTAATGAATAAGGAAAGTAATGACTTCTGTGTTTCTACAGCAGGAGATCAGTTGCAACTTATTTTTCTCTTGGTTGGAGGAGACACAAATAATTACTTTGGTAATTTGAAGTGCCATTTAACAGGGTTAGGGCTGATCTCTGTAGTATAGTGAGCACTGAGATGACCCCTAGTATATGTCACTTGAAAAAAAAAAAAAACAAAGCCAAACGAAACCCCAACAGAAAACCCAACCCATAACAACCCAAACCCAGTGCTGCTCCCTGGCTTAGGTAGGGGAGTAGGCTCTGGAGTTTTCAAGTTTTTTAATTTTTTCTCCCCTTGATATTAGTAAACAGGAATGACTGACAGCTCTTCTCTTCAAGGTCTTTGCTGTCAGTTATTGTGCTCTTTGAGGCTTTGGCATACTTGGCTGTTAGAGATGATGCACTGAAGGTGTTTCCAGTACAGTGACATGCCAAGAACTAAATTGGAAGTGCCAAAGCCCCTGAGTATACCTCATGTCTTTCATCATTTGGGATTTATTTCTCACTTGTGAAACTTAGTTGGTCAATTTTCATAGGAAAAAGGGTATTTTTAGGACATGTCTGGTATGTCACTTCTTTAATAGAATCATAATATTTAAAACTTAAATTATACAAAACACTTTGAGTGGTATATGTCAATTAAACTTATTGGAAGAAACCAGGACTTGTGAATTGGCATTTTTGGCATCTCTGTAAGGAAAGCTGTTTCATTTATTTTTTTGTAACAACAGTATTATATTAAAGTAGATTTGGAAGGGTATTAAAGAAGCCATTTAATAATTTTTTTCCCTCACGGCAAGATTGATTATGTTTGTGTCACTCCTGGGAGATAAAACAATTCAGTGTGCTCCTGAAAATCTCAAGGGGTTGTGATTGTCAAAAGAAGTCTTTTCGGAAAATGATAGTTTGTATGTTTAACAAAACCAGTAGTGTTTACTAGCTCTGATGTTGAATACTTTAAGTATTGTCTTTTCTTTTTCTTTAGAAAGTGAAGGTAGCAGCTTTGCGCATGTACACGTGCTGTGTGGAGAAAACTAACTATGAGGAATTTTTTAACAGTAAGTAATGGACTTGATGATATCTGGACTACTGCCCTGCTGAGAGAACTTACGATGAAAATTCATTATATATATATTTAGAGCAGTAAATATGATAGCAGAAAGACTTGTCAGACTTCCAGAGTGCATGGTAACCTAGAAGCTGACAGCATTCCCTTGAGCTCTGAAGTGGCAAGTGTTCAAGGGCAGACTGTGGACCCTGGGATCGTTACGTTTTGCCCGCTGTAATGGAGAATAAGAACAAGGGTGGGAGAGTTAAAAAGCAGAATATCCTGGGCTTTGAAGAATATTGCCTTATTTATTGCCAGGGGTAGGATGAACTAAGAATCCAGGTACCACTTCCCTTTTTGCTGTGGTCAGACTGTGTCCTACCCTGCCCCATGACAGGTTGTTAGAAGGTCCAGTGTAACTGGGATGCAGGTGTGAGAACTATCCCCATTCACTGCTGCACAACTTTTTTTTGTGATAGATTACAGGGTCCTACCTGTCATTTTTCTTTATGGGTGAGGCAGGTTTGGCTAGAACTTTAAGAGAGTTTTTACATTTTACTGAATTTGACAGCATTAAACCAGGATATGTCTTTTGACTGGGTGGAGAGTATAACCAGAACAGAGACACAAGTCCCTCCTTTAAGTATATAGGAATGATATTGCCTTGAATAGTGATGGCTTTTCCATGTTCCACACAGTTTTTTAGCTATTGGCTAAAAAGTATGTTGTTGCTTTTATTAGTATCAGATATGGCAGTTGGGTGGAGAAGATGCTTTTGAGACCTATATAAGCTTCAGTTATATTTTAGTCTTATGCCAGTGTGATTTTTCTGGTAGTAAATCCATTGCCTGGATCTGGCCTGTCACCTGAATTCCTGAGCTACCAAATGCTTTCTTATGGCTTTACAGTAGCACCAGCTAATGTACCAGCACACGTTGGGGCTGCTGCTGCCTCTTGACAGGGATCAGCTGAAGTGACATCTTTGTGTGTTCATGTCATGCAGAGCTTTTTGAGGGTGGTTTGGTACCTGGGTGCTTTGCTGCTATGAGGTTTTCCAATGGTTTTCAGAAGGTTTTCCAAAACTGTGATGTGGTTTCAGCAGCTGCAGGAGCAAGAGAACTCTGTGAGCAGTAGGATTCATCATTAGTGATCAAAAACTTAGAAGCTCATTTTTCCTGTGGACACACTCTCCCCAGCTGCGTGTCCTCTCTGGTTTTCTCAGATAAGTTCTCTTCTGTTTGTCACATTTTCCTGTCAGAGGTTTTGCTGTTTTTTACTGGGTTTAGCTCTCTCTGCTTAACAGGTTAATAATACAAAGATATATAAAAGTTGCCCTGCATTAAAATTTAAAATAATTTCAAAACATGCTTGTGAAAAAGATACAGACACAGATTTTCAGGCTTAATACTGAGGAAAATTACTTTAGCTGTATTCTTGCTATTGTCTTCCCATTTTGAAGAGGAAATCGCTGGAGCTCTCCCTCACTTTTAACAGATCACAAACAGCAGGCACCCTTTGCTTCAAGTTTCACCATTTTCTCCAGAATGTCTTTGTTGCTCTTTTTGTCTTTTTGCTCTGTATGAGTTTGCTAGTAAGAGTTGTAGCCATTCCATCTCTGAATTTACATGCAGGAAGACCTATGCTTGCATTGACTTGGGATGTTGTTAAGTAAGAAACAAGATAGTTCAGTTTGCTGAGTGTGTGAAGCACCCATTGGTGTTACAAGAACGCCTGTGGTGTTGATGTCTATGTTTGTGTTTCCAAATAAATAATTCCTTTCATATAAAAAAACATACATAAGAAGTTTGTTACTTCTGTCTACTTGTAATTGCAGCTGTTTGGGGGATTAGCTCTAAAATTTAACAGGCTTGTGAGCCATGTTTAAAATGTAGTTGCCCTAAAAGACAGACTGTGTGGAGTAGGCAGGAACCTCTTAAATGAATTTTTCTCAATGAAGAAGCTTTAGGCTGTGGTTCCATAGGCAGCTGAGTCAAAGTAGTCAAAGGGAAAGGGCTCATTTCTCAGTTTTCTGCTGCCTGAAAAGAAAATTCTCCACTGAAAGAAAATGGCCTGATTTTTTACTGACTTCCTTGTTTTGCTGTGCTGGTGAATTACAATGGTACATGGAGGGCTCTGATAAAGAGCAGCTGTAGCATGAAGTGGTGAGAAGGATATGGCTAGGAGAAGGGAACATGAAGTAAGATATCCAAGTTCCAGTACAACTCACCATGTCTTTGTTGAACTATGTCAGTTAGGAGGTGTTTTGTTTTTTTTTTCCTATTCTGAATTGCTGCTTTTTCAAATAAAGATGGGCATCACTTCAGCTGGGACTGTAGCTTGCTGCCAAATGAGCAGCCTGTGGGACTAGTAGGAACAGGAAACAGCTGACTCTTAACTTCTGCCCTTGGTGATGCAGCAAGCACCAAGGTGACCCGAGACCATACTGGTGTGGGTGCTGCACAGCCCCAGGATGAACTGCACTGCTTAGGAAGCCTAAAGAGTAGTAAAGGTAGGGCCAGGGACCCAGCTCAAGTCTGCCTGAGCCAAAGCTGGCTCTGTGTAGGCCTAGTGCTACATTGATGCTTTGTTGCCCCCAGCAGTTCTGTCTCTAGTTGAATTGAATGCCACTGAGATACCCAGGTGACCTGCACAGAATCAGCTCTGGTCTCTGGAGAGCTGATTAGCTTTTTCTCTGCTGTTTGTGAGAGTTGTTTGCCTCCTGAGCTGGCCGTGGAAGCCGTGCGTCCATGCACGTGTAAAACCATTTGGGGTTGCATTAACCCTGCTTGTGTGGTGTGGTTGTGAATCATGAGTAACAACTGCAGTGTGGCCTTCTGGAATTTGGATTGGAGTGTGGATGTTGTCAGGTAGTTCTCTGACAGAGGTGACATAGAGTGTGAACACTGGATAGTATGGGGTTGAGGACTAGGACACGACAGCATTTCATTTCTTGTAGGCTGTCTTGCTATCTCAGTACATTTCTGTTGGTACATAGTGAAATTCCAGAGACTTTGTTATGCACTATAAGCCCTGTGAACTGCCTCTCTCTGTGTTATGTCTTAGAACAGCAGTTCCCAAAATACAGACTACGGATATCCAAGTCATGAGGACACCCTAGTGTATAAAAGAGGTGTTGAGAATCTAGTAGTATACTGCAGTTGATTTTATTCTGCCTACAATTCTGTTGTCTCTTTGGTTTGTGATCACCCATGGACAAAACTTTGGGAACTTTTCTTTAGAGCCTACATCCCAAATCTCCACAGTGCTGCTTATTTGGAAAGTGGAGCTGTTCCAGGACTCCAGCTGTTTCTTGTTTACAGGAGAACATAGTAGTAGTAGAGGGAATATCAAGATTACTGGTGCCAGGCTTCCTGTGCACAAAGCTGGCAGGCTCTAACAAAATGAAGAAGGTAGCCACCTCTGAGGAGAGTGTTTGATGCCTGACCTTGTACTTGAAAGGTCAAAAGTGCTTTTAGGATCAGGTAGATGATACTGAGTGCTGAGCTGAAGTTTGTCTGATGAACATGGAGTGTAAGGTTACCCTGAATTCATCTTCAACTGTTAATACTGTTAATTACTCCACTGTCATGCAGCTGCAGTAATTAAGAGTGGCCCTATCAAAACAGCCTTTCAGATGGCTTCTGGTGGGGATACCAAGCAGCTCAGAAGGGCTGGAGTTTACCTACAGGACTCTAGATTCTTCTGTCTCCCTTAGCCCAGTAGGTACCTTATAGGCACTTGCTGCTGTCTGTCATGCTCAGGGGAACACTGACATGATACATCTGGTCTTCTGCAGGATGTGAGAATATTATCCCACTGCATCCTTCCTGAAATTGTAGTAGTGGCAAAGATGATCTGTAATGAAAGTCCCCCTTCAGGGTTTGCATTCCTTACCTGATGCATTTAAGTGCAGAATAGAACTGGAGGAAGAAGTATGTCCTCATGACTGTGAGCATTCATGTCTCTTATCATACACAGACCTGTGAACAGAATATTTCCTGTGGGCAGAATAGCTTTATTCCCCAACTGAGAATCACAATAATTTCGTAGTTAGTTTTAACATCAGATTTTTTTCCTGTCTCTACCTGTATTCTGAAGGTAATAATTTTCTGTTTAATTTTAGGATGGGTCTTTCTCCCCAGTTAGCTTCCTGGAATAAGGTGTTCCAAGCCCCCAGATTTTAGAACTGCATTCTTTTAAAAACCTGGTATCTGAGGGCAAGCCTGTTGCTCTAAGGGAGGCATCCCTCCTTTACATTTACAGTGTAGATGGTCCTAATACAGAAGTTAAAAAATGAATTCTAAAAATAGATGTACAACACTTGGAAAGTTAGAGAAATTCTTCCCTCCTAGGTACTGAATAGGTCTTTAAAAACTTTTCGTGTTTCCAGTAGTAGAGGTGTGAAATCACTCACTTTGCTTTCCCCTGAAGAGTGATTCCTGTGGTGGGAGACTGATACATGGTAACCTCTACTTCACAAACCTCTGTCTGTTGAACTCAGTATTTTACTGTAAGTCTTGTTTGTGGAACCTTCATTGAATGAAATTATTTTAGTGCAAGCATTGTGTACTCTTGCCCTAGTTACAGATGCCTTGGCATGCCTTTAGGTCAAAGTAATCATTTCTAGGCACATGAACCATTTGTAATAGGAAGGGGAGAAGGGGGAGGGAAATTGTATTTAATCTCCAAACACAGACTGTTAGTATCTTTAGAGTGTCTTAAAGGTGGCATAGTTGATGTATGGGCACTGATGCTGAAGCTTTCCACCTCGCAGGCAGTGATGGAGTCCTCTCACTGAGGAGGGAGAAATGCTGTTGATTTGTTTGCTGCTTCTGGTGGTTGCCTGACCACACTTGGCATCAAAAAGAAAGAGGCTGTGAAAAGTACTGCTCCATGATCCAGGTGAATCTCCTTGGTTATGCTTGAGAGCCAAGGAGCATAGGGGTCAGAAAGGAATATATTCAACATAGAAAAGATAAGGTTGACTTCCTTGGGGCACAACTGACTGCAGAGTCCATTTCTGAATACTTCTGGCTTTCTTACACCTAGGCTTGAACAGTACACAAGATAAGACCAAGTGTTGAGTGACAAGGTGACTGTGTCAGATCCTACTCATTAGGTACCCCTCTTAAAAAAGCAGATGCAGAGGTGGCTTTCTAGGAGGAATGTTTAAGACTGACAAAAACTGAAGGAATTAACGTGCCCATAATCCATAGGTCCATGCTTTTCAAGCCTGAGGAAGAGGAATAGGAATATGGTTTCTGTGCCACATAGCCTACATCTCCAGCCTCACATTGTAATGGCATGGGCAGATCCATAGTGTGAATATGCATAGGGACAACTCATTTCTGGGAGACCCAGTGGCTATCAGAGTAGAGCTGAATCTGGAAACAGATTTATCTGTGGTTGGGTAGTGGTTTTAATCCTAATGTAGAGTGGCTAGAGGCAAGGTATGCTCAGAGTGCTGTGGGTTGTGCAGCCGTGTAGGAAATCAGAAGAGCAGAGTAGGAGCAAGTGCCCAGCTAGTAAAGTGTTCTGATGCTGGCAGGAGAAAACAGCAGATGATAAAGGAGTAGTGTGAATGGAGGAAAGCATCTGTTGATAGTTCCCTCTTATTTTCTACTGCTTTGGGACTTCTTGGGCTAGAAGCCACATGTTTTTCTAATTTTCCATTTTGGATTTCTTTTTTCCCCCCTCTGTAAAACTTATCTAAGTGAGTTCTAAATATATGAAATCTTTCAGAATCTACAGCATCCTGTGGCTGCAGGTTCTAGAGTTTAAGCATAAGAGAGACAATAAATTGTTTCCTTCTGATATTTTTTTACTGTTCAGGGCCAGAAATTAAATAACTAAAATATATTTAGAGTTAGGTGTAGTGAATTTCCTAGGTACAAAACATGATGAAATTAATATTTAGTTTTGGTTCTGTGTTTTGTTTTGTTTTCCCTCTTCCCATCAAGGGTGCCACATGCCTGATACTTTGAATTCATGGTTTCTAGTAGCCCAGCTTCATGTCTGGTAAGTGAAAAGTAAAATAGTAACATAACTATTTGCAAGAAATAGTGATATGTACCTTAATGTGAGAAAAAGTAGGCTTCATGGTTATTGATAGTAGTGGTTTTATTCAGTTTACTAATTACTGAATTTTGGCAGTTTTCTACTAAAGAACAAAAAGTCACATAGAAAATCTAACATCTTTTCCAATTCTAAGTTTCTCAGTAGTGGAATGATCTTTACTATGAGTTTTCTAACATGTCTGTGCAGGCTATGTGGAAAAATTTTACTTGGAATTTTAGGAAAAATTTAATTTATGTAATTTAAAATGGGAGAATTCGTGGTGATTGAAGTTGCTGTTCATCAGAATCATGTAATAAATAATAGCATTGAATTTATTTTTGCACTTTTGAAACGTACATGTGGCTTCACGAATGCCAGCTTGGCTGCATTTAAAAATATTCAACACCTTAAACATGAAGGTTTTCCCCTTTTTTCATTTGTGAAAAATGAGATTTTTTTATTTAGCATTGCATCCCTGTGAAGGTCAGGGGGATGCACAGGGGAGTACAGTAACTTTGTTCAGTTAGGAAACTGAAGTCCATAGACTTACATTCAGCTATCCAGAGTCTGAAAGGAGGTTTATACTGAAGTAGCTGCACTTAAGCACAGGCCTCTTATTCCTTGTCTCCTTTTTTCCCCTCTTCCCTCCTTTTAATTTTCTGTCTCCTCAGTATATTGAGAGGTGATGCAGCTCATTTCACAAATGAATAAATTAGATGAACCATTGATATTAAAATCAGTTAATGAAATCAGTGGAATTAAGTAAGGAAGACCCTTGAGATTTACAGTTTATTTCCTGCTGTTCCCTGTGGGGAAAAAAGGCTTTAAAAATAAATTGATAAGCTACTCATTCATATTGATATTTGGAAAACTGTTGCAATAAATATTCATTACCAAACTGCAAGTGTCTGGGGAAAAATAAAGAGGAGTGACATGAATCTGTAAAGAACACACTTTTTTGCCCATCTTAATTTTGCATTGACAGGAAGATGTACCTTGTGGTACATAGCATGATATCCAAAATACATAATCTTCTTTCGTGAAAGGCTTAAAAATAAACAAGGGGACTATGATAGGGGTGAAACTAGTATGGGATAGACACAAAAATTCAAAGATCAAAGCAACATTGGAGGAGGCCAGGAGTTGCCACACTTTGAGCACTGGTGACGTTTAATGAGGGAAATAAAAGCACTCTTATGTTTAAGATATGGTGGACAGGTTGACAGCACTATATTACACAAGCAGGTAGAAACCAGATCCCTCTACTTTGCATGACCACAATGCAAATTCCAGTGTGATTATCTCTAAAAGTTATTTTTTCCAAGGTTTATGTCCTCCATGTTCCTGGCAGCTTGACATAAGGAGCGCTGTCATGCTGGGCCAGAAATATGAAATGCAGTTTGGTACTTCAGGATACAGAGAAGACCATGGTAGGCCTGTACACTACCTGGGTCACTGGGGATTGCTGCAGGCTTTGCTTGTGATGAGCTCAGTGAGCAGGATTCTGCCATGTCATAATATTGCTGTCAGAGTCAGGTTTATTGCTATGTTCCTTGTGATGCCTTTTCTTCAACCAATCTGACCTCGTCTGTCCTGATGGACCTCTTGCTTCAGAGTCTAGAAACTTTCCTGATCTGGTGGCCAACAAACTGACCATGCAGATTCTGATCAGCATCATCTATTCAAGAATTCCTGTTTCTCCTGTCAATGAAGTCTAGATCACTTTCTGCTGCACTTAGCTCTTCTTGCTTCTTCAGAGTTTTAGTTTCAACTAATTTAGTGTCTTCTAGAGCTGAAGAGGATGAGAATTTTTCCCAGTTTGGTAAACCCTGCCTCCTTTCTTGCTGTTGCTATTGCCTATCATGTCCTTATCAACTGTGTTTCTCTACTTTTTTGCTTCCCACCTTTTGCAACTGAAGGTGCTTGTCAGAGCATAGATTCTTGTGGTTGAGATTCTGGTGGGCCCTCTGTTTGAATCTCTGGCTTCTTGTCTGGAAAGAGAGTTTTCCTACTTGCCTCCTGTCAGCAAAGGGGGAAATTCAGGCTCTTGTGTTTAGCTTCTGCATGTGCTAAATTCCTTCAGGATAATGTTCCTTTAGATATGCTCCAAAGCAGTGCTAAAATTATACGTTAGAAAATCAACCTATTGATATTCTTTCATGAATGTCATGTTTTTATAGGCCATTTGTGTCATGCCACAGCTTTGATTTCAGGAGGACTCTTTCTTTATGTTTAGAAGTCCAGAACTTTTACAAAATCTTAAGCTGTTAGTCTCCACTGTTGGGTTTGCCTCTTCCCTTGCAGTGGCAGTGAACCAACGTGTGAGTTGAGCCAGCAGTGTGGGAGTGCAGCCTAGAAAGGCAACTGTGTCCTGGGCTCCACCAAAAGCAGGGTGGCCAGCAGGTTGAGAAAGCTGATTCTGCCCCTCTACTCTGCTCTTGTGAGACCCCACCTGGAACACTGTGTTCAGCTCTGTGGCCCCCAGTGCAAGAAAGACATGGAGCTCCTCAAGTGGGTCCAGAGGAGGGCTGTGAAGGTGATCATGGGGCAGGAGCACCTTCTGCTGTGAGGCCAGGCTGGAGAAGAGGAGGCTTCAGGGAGACCTTATTGAGACATTTCAGTACTTAGAGGCCTACAGGAAGGTTGAGGAGGGACTCTTCATCAGGGAGGGTGGTGATAGGATGGGGGTAACATTCAAACTGAAAGAGGGGAGATTTAGATTAGACATGAGGAAGAAATTTTTCACTGTGAGGATGGTGAGGCACTGGAACAGGTTGTCTAGAGAAGTTGTGGATGTTGTGTTACTGGATCTACTTCAAGATCAGGTTGGATGGGGACTTGCACAACCTAATTTCTCTGAAATAATATAACATAGCCTCAGGAACAGTTTCTCTGGAGCAACTGTGGAAGCAGGAATAAAGGGTGCAGGGGATAGTGGTGGGAAGCTCCAAGTGGGCTTCCCTTAGAAGCTCACTCCCCTTAGAAGCCTGATACATCATCATACCTTGATTGCATGGCACTGAGCCACCTCACAGCAGCTGGCAGGGTGGTGTCACTGAACACTTCTGGTGTTTCAGCCAGTCTGTTGTCTCTGTGGTAATGCTGACAGAAACAGTTGAAGCTGAGGCTGTTGTGCATAACTCCTACATCTCATCTGAAATGAGTTGAGTTATAGATGCTCCTGTTAGTTTTCAGGCATCTAGTCATGTGATTTTCTGTAACATGATCTCTGCATACCTTAAATACAGCATGAATTATCCAACCCAACCAATGTCAGGTAGGCAGCTTTCTAAAGATAGTTTGGAATAATTTTGCTTCTGTGGTTTGATGAAGATGAGTCACTATGTCACTAAACTACAGAACAGATTGTGTAGTGAAACAACAAAATGTTTCTCGCTGTGTTGATCTGGTTAGAAGGTTTATGGTCTTCAAAGAGACTGTGTCTATTAAATATCAAGACAGCAGGTGTAGTAACAAACTACCAAATTTTCAAATAAACTGCAAAATTCCATGATCTCACTCATGGTGCTGCAGAACAGCTCTGTGACAGCACTATGGATCCAAACACAGAGCTGCCTTTTAGGCTTTATGAGTAGCAGGTTTTACTCTGAACACTTCAGCCCTGCTCATCAGTGACTGTCTGTTAGCATTAGTTTCTGTGCACTGATCTCTTCTCCTGCTTCACCACCACTGGAGGCAGACTGGATAGGAACCAGTATTTATGCTCAGAAGGAGGAGGGTTTCTTGCCAAGTCATTTTTTTTTTTAATTCCAGAGCTTGCATATTCAGCAAGTATAAAATGCTTTCTTTACTCCAAAACTGGTATTTTAAACTGCATCTTTTTCTTTTGGACTTATTAAGAGTAGGTAAATATTTTGGATACAGTAACTCTTACTAATTAACTTTTTCATACAGCTCAGTTATGTAAATGCACAAGAGGAATAAAGGTTTTGAAGCTGGTGGAATTAAGACACAAAAGTTTTAAGCTCTTTGTGCATTTGTTTTGTGGAAGGTCTGCTAAGTGGTCGGCTGTGCTCTGAATTCTGGACCACTGTTTTTGCAGAAAGCTTTGTTATCTTTCTGGGAGCAAGATAAGGATTTGTTTCTTGATACTGTCTTAATTGCATTTGTTTAGTAGGACATTGGTGCTGTTGGACAGATACCAAATTGTCACTGCCACAATATAAATCTTGGGAATCCTTACACAGCTCTGTTTCCTGAGACAGGAATTGCCACAGTCTTCCCAATGTTCTCTTTGCTGGCTGCTGCCCTTCCCCTTTTCTACGCACCCCCTAACCAGATTCTAGCAGTCATTCCAGTCTTCAGTCATTCATTCACTTGTCATGCCTCAGTCCCTCTCTCCAGTCTTCTGACCTCTTTCATCTGGCTTGTGTTGGAGCTTGAGCTTTCTCTTACATAGCCAGTGTAATTTGCAGAAGCTCTCAATTCAGAAATCAGTGTCTGGTCCATGGGTGCTTTTTTCTCTCAATTTTAGTGTCTCAGTTGAATGGCTATTGTATAGGAGTTAAATATATGGTTCTAAGCAGAGTACAGAATACAGGCCTACAGGAAAGATGGAGGGGGAGTGTAGTGATAGAATGAGAGGTAATGTTTTCAAAGTAGATTTAGATTAGATTTGAGGAGGAAATTCTTCACTGTGAGCGTGGTGAGGCACTGGAACAGCTTGCCCAGAGGGGCTGTGAGTGCACCCTCACTGGAATTGTTCAAGACCAGGTTGGATGGGACTTTGAGCAACCTGATGAAGTGGCAGGTATCCCAGCCCATGGCAAGGGGATTGGAACTAGGTGATCTTTAGGATCTCTTCCAACACAGACTGTTCTATGATAATGCAGTCGTTGTTACCTTCAGTTTTTCTCCCTGTGACTCATCACTGGCATTAAGTTTGGCTTCCTTTGCAGATTAAAAAATACCTTTCATGTACTAATCAGTAGATAAGATAGAATCCATCATAAAGATTGATATCTATCCATCTACAGGTGAGCTCAACAGACAAGCTTTAAGTGTTTATGATTCTCTGCATTGAGCTGGCATTCCCAGATCACCAAACACTTTTAATGCCTATAGGGAGTCATAGGTCTGTGTCCACTGAAGAAATGAACAGATTAAAAAAAAATTATCTTCATTTTTACATCTTAACTCTTGTGGCACTTTCATTATTGTTAGTATAAAGCTGATTTAAAGTGGCCTTCAGAAGCTCTGCTCTGTTGTTTTTACATAAGAGGTGAGAAGAATTTCCTGTGAGCAGTTTCCTACCTGTAGCATGTCTCTGTGCAAAGCAGTGACTCCTTTCAGCTCCACTGTTTGAGCATCACCTTGTCTACATTAACTCAGACTTGGACAGGGAATTCTGGCTCATAACACAGGAGCAGTGCTGATTAGTGAGGTGGAGAATGTGGGACTGGTGATGAGACTCATCTCTTAGCTTGGTGTGGCATTAGCCTGTATTTCAGTTCATGCAGTTTACAGATGTTGTAGAAGAGGCAAAATAAAATGTGTTCTGATTATTTATTTCTTAGAGAGAACAGCAGCAGTGAAGTTGAAGGGGCTTTAATGTCTAAAGAAAAAAGTAGAACAGCTCAACCTGGTATTCTCATTAAGATACCATAATGCACTTACAAACTTGTGAGTTCCTCAAGCATGTACTGCACGTAGGGGTTTTGCCAAGTGGTTGGACACGTATCCAAAAGACTCCTGTAGCTGAAATAATTTAGGACATTGCTAATGTGAATTTAGGTGAAGTCTGTAACTTGCTTAAGCTTTCACAGCTTGGCTAGTTTGGACTCTTACAGCACTTCAGTGTTCCAAGCTGAATTACAGCTGGCTTGTAGCCTAGGATTAGGCAAGACATTTGTTCCTGCTCCAAAGGGTGATACGTTCTTAAGGCTGAGGAATTTAAGTTGCAGTACTGTTTAACTAGATTACAATACTGTCAGACAGTCATTCTTCCATAGCTGGGTTGCCCAAAATCCAGCAGATGCAGCTCTTGAGTAAAGGATAGAATAGTTTGTGATAGTTTATTTAAAAAAGAAAAAATCTTTGTGGCTGTGTAGTTTGTTGTTTTTCTTTTCCTGATCACAAAACCATATACTAGAAGAATCTTAAATTAGCTGACCTATATTTAATTTACTCTTTACATTTGAATAAAACCTAGAAGCTGTGAAATTGGTGTTTGTGTTCTTGCAGGATGTGTCTGGTACGAATGAAGCAGGAGGGCCGCACAGGAAAATACATGTGTCGCTATATAGTGCACTGCATGTGGGAGGACGTTGAGCAGCGTGGTAAGGTGATGGGGGTAAGTCCTCTCTGGTGTTGATAATCATGATGTTTCACATCTTTCAGTGCTTTTATAGATTTGCATATCTTAGAAGAATGCCTAACAATCAACCTGTTTGCATCTTTGTTAGCTTAAGCTGGTATCTGTAGCCCTGACTCCTGACCATGCGTTCGTACAGCTGTACTGCCTCTTGTATTGAACCACTGACTTTGTTTCAGAAACTGCACCATAGCCTGATGAAGATACTGATTTGTCTGAAAGTAATTAATTTTCCACATGGTTTGCCATTTGGCTGCACAAATGGATGCTGCTATAACAGAATGGGAATTTGTGGAGAGGAGCGAGCAGTGGAGGTAGGGAGAAACATGGCTGGTGCCAAATGTATCACCACCACTTAAGTAATTCCAGTAGTGATTGGAGTTTTCTCTGTACCTAGGATGGTGAGTAAAAGGAAAGTTAAGGGACAGGTTTTTTTATGTTAATGACCACAACCAGTAATTAGTTTATTTTTTCTTTTGGATTCTTAGTATACCTAGTCTTTATCACAAAAGAAATGTTGTAAGGAGAGAGTAGCTCTAAGAGTAGATCATTTGCGAGTTGAAGGAAGAATAAGGTTGCATCTTTTTGGTCTACTCTGAGGAAGGTTATGCAAGTTAGTTGTAATGGTCATTTCTGGCCTTCTAGTCTGTGAGTATAGCCTTCAGAGAAGACAGTGCAGAAGCAGGAGAAGTAGCGGATGGTGTCCGTAACTTCAGTATCACAGTGGTGACAAGAGACCTGGTACAGTTGTGGATGCCTATGTTCAGAGCACATCTGGTGGGCTAACAGAGCTGGGAAGGATCTTCTGTGTTGTGGGGAAAAAAAAAAAGAGTGGTCCAGTGATGAAGTAGAGGTTTGTCTAAAATAGGCTGTTAGAGAAGTGACAATTTTCAGAAAGCAGTAATGGCATATTGTCAAGTCTTAGGTGTCAGCCATATCTGGAGAGGCACTAGGGTATTCCTCTTGGTGACAAACAAGGGAATTAACCAGTGAGTTAGGATTTGGTATGAGATCATATTAGTAATTCAAGAAGTTTCTCACTGATCTTTTATTTTGTATGTGGTTTTAAAAAGTGTTGATTCTGGATTAACTTCAGTTACTCCACCAGCGATGGCTTTTTTTCCCCTACATGTTAGGAATTTTGTAGCTTTGCTATGTTACAGCTGAATTTTAAAGACAATCTTCTTTTGGATTAAATCTAAATTAAGGCATACTATAATTTCTTGCTACAGTAATGAGCTTACTTAAATTCCAGTATGAGAATCTCCACTTTCCAGGTCAGGTGCCGTAAGGCAGTGTGAATGAGAGTAGATGAAATAGAGGATAATACCAGAGAAAAAGAGTAAATTAAGTAGCTTATGCATTTTTGTCCTTATATAATGCTTTCCATTTCATAGCAGTGGTTGATTCTGCTTTCTGTAGGAACTGGAGACAGCTCAGATCTTCATTCTGCATGTAAATGTAAGGCCACTCTTCTTGAAAAGAAAAGAAACAAAACCCAACAACAACAACAAAAAAAAAACCCACCACACAACCAACCCCAAAAAGAACCACAAAAAACCAACCCAGCCAAACACCCCACCTCCCAAAGCCATCAAAATCTCTTCAGGGATCTTTTGATTCCCTCCGCTCACAGAGAGAATGCTGCATTGGAACAGAAAATTATGTCTCTGTTCATTTTGACCCTAATTTTGCCTTATATGAACTACCCTCAGGTGCCATCTGGTAGTTTTCCTTGCAGGATCTGCAGCAGCAGCAAACAGGAAAGGGAAGCCCAGGCAGGAGTTTGCTGTGCCTGAAGGCGTGCAGAACTCAAAGTGAAGTATGGTGTAAGTCAGACCTGTATCGAGGCTTCTTTAGGTGAACTTTAAGGGGGAAAAAAAAAGATAGTGCTTACAGTCAGTCCTTTATAAAGGGAAGCACAAGGTTTCCATTTCTGCAAACTAAACTATTCCATTGGTCCACAAAATTCCCAAAGTGTAAAAACCCCACCAGTGCCCTTAGGTTTCCATCCAGTCTGGAACCACATGCACGTCATAATGGTCTGGTTGCTCTGTGAAGCAAGAGTAAGGAGATCTTAAATTCTCTGAATGCCATTAATTCTTTGCCTCGGCAGGTTAAGCATCTTTTCAGTTTATCTTTGAATTTAAATTTTGCAATCTTAGTTTGTAATAATGATCATGCCATGTAATGAGCATGCTTAGTTTGCAGTACTGTGATTCCTATAATATACTTTTGAGTAACCTAGTGTTAACATAGCTTTTATGTGGCAATAGCTGAAGCTTAAATGAAGTATGTAGACATTTAAAGGTTTGATCTCAGAAACAGTTACATCTGTGTGTATATTTAATACAGTTTAGCTGCACAGAGGCCCATTGATTTTAATGAGACTCCTTATGAGAGAACCTGAACTCTTGAGGTAAGAGCTAACTGGACCAGGCATTAAGGGTGTGTAAGAAAGCATGGTGAACTCTCCTAGAACTTGGAAATTAGGACTGTTCTTTTCCCCAGTGTTTGTGAAGGCATAGGGCTTTCATAATCTTTTAGTGATTTTTTTTTTTCTTTCATCTTTTAGTTATTCCTAATCTTTCAGTCATTATTTTGTCAAGATTAATGAACTTTTTAGTCTCTTCTGGTAGTATTTACTGTATATTTGATTAAAATAATTTATGCATTGATGTTTGAAGAGGTTAGCTGTGATCCTAGCTTAATATATTGTTTCATGGGCAGTTCCAGTTTCTTCCATGCCTGTTCACTTTCTTCACTTGATTTCCCCCCCTTCACGTGGATGTACCGAGGAAATGACAAAGGGCTTGTGAGCTGACTGAGGAGTATGTGTAATGGGTGTTTATTTTCAAGTAGTTTAGTTCTGCAATCAGAATATATTCTGCCTCAAAAAGAAGATAATATATCAAGATAAGAATAGTAGGTAAAAAGAAGATGACATTAATGATCCTCTTGATGCTTTTCAGTTTCTGAATCTGAGCCTTCCTCGGAAGTCAGTTAATGAAGCAAAACTTTGCTGAATGCTTCTAGGGCACCGAGTTATCATCTGCATAGCTCCTAGGAGGTTAGGAAATACTATTCCCTCCTTTTTCTCTCATGCAGGGTATCAAAGGTTAGTGTTTAACTCTGATTAGGACATTCTTGTGTTGTGGTATAAGTGACAGAGCACCTGTATGAAATTGCTAGTTGGATGCAATTAGTTTAACCTGTTGACAGACAAAGCTGTGATTATTTAACTCATTTCCATATCTAGCAGCAATCCCCACACTTCATGCAGAAAATGGATACTATGTTCCCAAATGAATATTGATGGTTTATTAAAATATACCATCTGCTCTTAATTATACAGGTTCATTGGAGCTGAAAATGATAGAATGTAAGGCATTTTAACTAGTAATTTACATCAGCTCCAACTCCAAATGGAGTTTGTATTATTTCAAAATCTGGTTGTTAAAATTGCTGAGATCTAAATCTCAGCTACAAAGTTTTGGGACCTGTTGGCCTGAGCTCCTTCAGCACTCCTGAATGTCGGCAAGAGTCAGAAACCAAAACTTGACACAGCTGTAAAAACACACAGAGAGCCTGTGGCCTCAGCAAATTCTACTGGTGCAGGCATATTTCAGGTATAAATTTTACTCTGCTGTCCCTCGTACTAATGAAGTCAGTTTCTTTTGGTGGGTTTGCAGCCAGGTGTGTCCAGTTCTGTGGCTAACCAGTGCTCTTTACTTAATTTTTCCACTAGTGACATTTCTATCAAACTTTAAAAACAAACAGAAAAATTGGCTTGATGCAATGGCTCAAAGTGTTAATAGTAACATTAGGCTGGGTAAAAGACTTCCTTTCAGTCCTGCTTTGCCAGAGATCTCCACCTTGTGGCTTGCAGTGAATAGATTTATATTGTGCAAGCTGGCAGCTGCCTAATCAGTTTGTGAGGGGAATTTAGTCACTATTAGAAATTGCTGCTAATTGTCTTCCTAACAGTTCTTTAGCAACCTTAATATTCACCTTACCGACCTGAGTGTTGTGTTTTAGTAACTGTGTATATAAAAGCATTCTTATAAGTTTAAGTGTATTGTAATACCCTTAGATGAGGCTGCAGAGTTGACCAGAATGACTTGCTTGGGTTCCCGGAAGCAGGATTTCAGCTGGTAATTAGACAGTAGATGGGTTTGTTTTTTCTTTTTAATCTCCTAAAACAAAACAAAACAAAACCAAACCCCAACACTAAAATACCCCAACACCCCTCCCCTGCCTCCTTTCCCCTCCTCCAAGATCCCCATACTCATGCTTCTGGGTGCAGATCACGTGCTGTCTGAGAAAGATTGATCAGACTTTATTCAAATACCTGTGAATTGTTGTAGGCTTGTTTTAACAGCCTTAGTCTTGTGTGCTGTGGTGGCTTTCTGTTTCTGAAAGGAATGGCTTTTTCAGTGCAAAATACCAATTTGGGTAATAACCATACGTGTTCTAAAAGCCACAAAAGAGATAAGAATAGGAGGGGCTGTCAAGCCTAGAGTGCCAAACCTGTTTTAATTCATCCTGATCTCACTTTCCTGTTTTCCCACCAGACCACTTAGGCCCCCACCCCCTTTTTTTCCATGAACACATCTAGGTGTCCTTTGAATTCATTTATTGGCTCTGCTGTGCATAGCACAATGCAGTCTTTGTTACACTTTCAGCTGGAGCTGTTTATATACAGTGACCCATAATTTGGTCTCAAGTTATGTTGGTGTACATCTGAAGTAAGGCCATTAGAATCAATAGCATGGTTCACGTCAGTGTAACGGAGAGCAGAATTTAGCTCTGTGATCTTGAACACCATTTTCTCTCTTGATACTCTTTTTCATGATTGGAGGACTTCAGATGATTAAAAAAGCTGCAAAACTTCATAAACATATGATTCAGTTTAAGTTGTTCTTACAGTGGAGAACAAAAAGACTGACACCTCTAACTAAGGGCTTGGAAATCATGGT